GGAATAACAAGTGAAATATCCACTAAAGCACAGCTTAAGTATATAACACCAACAAATCACTCATTTGGTTATACTCTTTTTCTTTTGTTTAGGATCCACAGATGGAACAAGACTACTAATGGAGGTGTATTTTTTGCCACATTCTTCGAATATTCTCTCTATTCTTGAATCTCTCTTAGTTAGGCAGCTCTTTTGGCTTGGTATGCAATGACTACTAACATATGGTATTGGTCCTCTGATGACTCTGATGACCACTCCTTTAGTTGGATGTCCCATCTGCAATTGTTGGTAAGGTGTTGGGGCAGCTTTGGACCATTTTGTTGGACCAGGTGGAGCATGGGCAGGTGGAGCAGCAGATTTAAACCACTTTGTTGGAGCAGGGGAAGTTGCAGTAGAGGCAACAGGGGCAGAGGACCTTTTTTGTGGAAATTTAACCTAACAAGTGAGTTTGATTTGTGTTAATTTGTAAAGATGGTTATTAATACTTGAAATTGAAAGAAATTGAAACTACTTACATTATTTGTGCTTTGTTGAGTGAACACTCCAACTGCTGGGACAGGGTCAACCATCCTCTTTCTAGTCTAAAAATACATGAACACGCTTAAGGCATGAAGATTTGAAACAATTATATATAGATGAAAACATGAAAACACGAAACAACTATTTATACATAAAGACATGAAACAATAATTTATTATGCAATCACCTTTAACTTTTCTGGTCTTTGTTGACCTTGAGATTTGAAGAGAAGACACCCTTTCTTATTGTGACCCTACCTCTGACAGAAGTTGTACTTCATTGTCATTCGTTGTCTTTTGTTTGTATTTTCCTTGGTCACAACTCTAGGCTTACCCCTTGCTCTTTCTCCCATCAGAAAGAACCTCATCAGGTTCCATTACCATAACTTTATCTGGCCTTCTTGTTGATCTTCCAAAATTTGGTGGCTCGGGTGGAGGATAACATGTTGCTGCATATTCCTTCCTATTAATAGTCATGATTGCACAATCATACACCTTCTTGTATGTCTATGTATTGAATCCAGGGTTCACAAAATATTCAACGCTACAGCCTTGTCGATTATATATATAACACTCACTACATGTAGACAAGGATTTCCGTACAACTCTCATTTTCTGCACCCATTGCTATGTGCCCTTAAATCCACCTTAAATTGATCACACTACAAGAAAATAGAGTTCAACTTGATATGTACTCATCATATTTTAGGGGGATATAGTCTACCAAATTATCAATATTAGCATCTATGATTTCTCGTGTCATGGGGCACAATAAAAATTTCTATTGCACATCAATCCCTATTCTGATACGATCTTCTCATCAAATACCCCTTTATCCACTTAAGCATTGACAGAATTGGTTGATATCTGGCCTCAAGGATATTGTTGTTGAATGTCTCACAAGCATTGTTAATAAGTATGTCACACTTAGGTGTAACACTAAAGTGTGACCTACTCCACTCTTGTGGTGGTTTTGCAGACAACCAACTCTCTGTTATGCCATTTTGTTGGGGTGCACCAAACGTAGTCAGCTGGGATGTAATCTCATTCTCTAGTAAAAGTTGCCTAAATTCATTGCCAAGGTAATTGCCCGACCAATGCGAATGGGTAACTCGGGCAATCGAGCAGTCCCGCCGGGCAGTCTTGGGCAACAAAGTAACAATAAAAACTACCATTTTTTTCGTCGCGCCTAAGCCCCGTCACTTATCACCTACAAGAAAACTAGCCAGTTATTTCATCCAGCAACACGACCAGTGATTCTTCATCTTTGGCCTCATCGCGATCAACAGCTTTTCAGAAAGCCCTTGCGATGTAAGACCATCTTCCTCGCAACAACAATCATGGCTGGCTCCAGCAAATTCTGATGATTCGTCACCAGTCGCGGAATTATCGGCCCAAAAATCATGGATAAAAATGATGCAATTTTTGCAGCGAAAAAAACTGATCACGCTGAAACTTGCCAGAACAGCCGAAAAATCTTCAGCAAATAAATTTCGACCAACACAGTCATCTTTTTCGTCTCTTACGATCAGTATCAGCAACATCTCCCCTCACCGGAAAATAAAAAACCAACCAGCCCAGTCGTCTTCTCCGTTCTTTGATCTGTCGGTCGTCCGTTTTGGCTCAGACCAGCATCTGGCAATCTCAGTTCTGTCGTGTTTAGTACTCGATCGGAATCCAAACGTGCAACAGTCGCCGGCGCATAGAAGCAATTCTCTCCATCATGCCCACAGCCCGCCCTCTCCATGAGTGACCAAAAAATTGCCTGCAACTCGCCAACGACCATGGCAGCTTTCAGACGTTCGGCCATGGCGAGCTCTACAAGACAGACTTCAATCTGCATAGAAGACTTGACTTATGTGCCAGCTTCATGTCGGTCTCGTTTTTTTCATATCAAAATATTGAGGAGTTGATCGCGAATCAAAAAGTATTTGCTTCTCGCCTGTCGCAAGCCCCCGTCGAAAAATTGAACAGCCTCCTGCAGATTGCTCGGTTGCCGAGGATGCCACCAATAGCAACCACTGGAGAAAAAGGAAAAGAAGAAAACGTGATTTTTTTTCCTAAAAGATAATGTAGAGTTCTTGTTACATGAATGTTAAGATAAGATGAAATATATCCAAAACAATCTATTTGTTCCTTTAAATATTTGTGTTTAGTTTCTTCTAAAAAATTTCAAAATACATTTAGGCGGGATACTGAATTTTTTTATGAAAAAAAAATACTTATTTTAAAAAATCTAAAATTTTAGGTGGAAATCTAAATAATGTTTAATTATTATTTCAAGTATATATCATTGTGTCTTTTATATAATGATAAATATAGACATTTAGGTGGGATATTTTAACTTAAAAAAAAAAAAACATACTTATTTTAATAAATCTAAAATTTTAGAGGGAATCTATATAATTTTTAATTATTATTTCAACTATATATCATAGTGTCTATTATATAATAATTGATATAGATTTGATTTAGCTCTTTGCATGTGCCTATCGATTTCTATTACCCCCAATAAATCTATTAAATGCAAACTAATGGGATGATAAAAAATAGTTAATTTAAATTTCAAAATATCATTATATAAATGTATCCGTCTTCACATCTTGGGCATAAACAGCCACATTATTAGCTTATAAAGGGGCAGCTCCATCCATCGAAACAAGATCTGCCCTTCTCCACTCATCAAATCGATTTTCTTTTCCTCTGCGTTTCTTGACATTGTAAGCTTTCTTCCCCCTTTTCGTTGTTGTTAGTTCCGTATTTCATAAGTTTATTGTTTCTTACATTTGTGAACATGAGATGTCGATCTCCCGATCGAGAATGCCGACTTTTGCTTGCTATAGTTTCTTGAAATTCATTAACTTTTGCTATCAATTTATGAATGGCCATGTTTATATGAATCCGCTGCGAGTTGATCGATCTGATTTTGTTGGGCTTTTGGATCTGCGAGCACTTGACGCTTCTTGTTTAATCAGTTAAATCTTTTATGGGGGTGCGTAATTTCTTTGGGTTTGATGCCTTACGATGTCTGTTTAGATACATAGCTCAATCGTGTGGATTTCTTGTTTTGATCAAAATGGGTGCGCTTCAAAATTTAAAACTGGCCTAATAAGATCGTGGTGATTCTTTATCAAATTGTGGTATGCTTGTTTCACGAATGGAGCTAAAGGGTTGTATCTATTTCCAACATATATGTACATCTTTTAATTGTTACTTGAGAAAAAAGGAAAACGTAAAAATTCGATAATTTGTCGCATTTGTTTTGTGCACACCATCTTTTTCTGGTGAATCATTTACCAGAGACACCATCTCTTGCAGGAGAATCGCAATCGTTTTGATATAAAAATTCTGAGGCCTAAAATTTTCTCATTTTTATCTCCACATTCTTGACCCTTATTTTCTCGCCCATATTCAAAATGTCGGTACATTGAATGTTGTAACTTTATTATCTTTGAAATTTTGGAAAAAGAGAATAGTGTTGTTAATTAGGTACTATTTTCTGTTTTTCTTGGAAAGCTAGGATTTAAATTTTGTTTCTGTTTTCAGAGACAGAGAAGATGGGTTTGTCCTTCACCAAGCTTTTCAGCCGCCTGTTTGCGAAGAAGGAGATGCGAATCCTTATGGTTGGTCTCGATGCTGCTGGTAAGACCACCATATTGTACAAGCTCAAGTTGGGAGAGATAGTGACGACCATTCCTACAATTGGTGCGTTTCGGTATTTATGACACTAGCATCCTTCTCCATTAAGTGCTTTGTATGTGCATGTTTTGTAGTTTTCTAATTATGCGAAACTGTGCCTTGTAACTTGTATGTGTCTCTGCATGTGTTTGTCTTTGTATGAGAGGATACTGATGATTATGATGATATGCTTACAAATGATGACTATTGTTCATCTTTCATTTCATCGTGCACATCTTCCTTTAATTTATACTGCCATTAATCATCACTTGTTAGCTAAATATTTGATATTAAGCTGGAAACATGACAACCTGGATTAAACATAATCATCGTTACTTTCATTTTTTCGGGAATGAAGTGTGAAAAAACTTGTATTGTTTCTACATCAGAAGAAACACATTTTTGTAGTCCAGCATTTGAGTACAGACCTTTGTAGTTTCCAATGACCGATGAGTTTACGGTTCCATATTGAGATTGATTAGACAACTTAAGACCTTTATTCTAGAGAATTTGTTCTGCGTTGTCATGTCTAATGATAATTTTGTACCTTTATCTGTTCTAAACATGATATTTTCATATATGCTATGGTTTGGCCTTCATGTTTTCATCTATGGCCTCTGAATTGTGTAAGCTGATTGTCATTTCCCCCAGGATTCAACGTGGAGACGGTGGAATACAAGAACATAAGCTTCACTGTTTGGGATGTCGGAGGTCAAGACAAGGTATAAGATGATTTTTTACTTTTTCACTTGGTATTTTTTAAGTCCTTACTCTAGAGTTCTCCACCAATTAGTATATTAGTGAATCGTGGTGCTAAAAGGCTTATGATATTTTGGGAAAGAACGACCCCACTAGCTGTTAGATTGTGAGTATCTTGTCTTTGAACTTACTTCTGTACTCTGATCGTTATGATTTCCAATTACGTAGATCCGACCATTGTGGAGGCATTACTTTCAAAACACTCAAGGGCTGATTTTTGTGGTTGATAGTAACGATAGGGACCGTGTGGTTGAGGCTAGGGATGAGCTACACAGGATGCTAAATGAGGTATTTTATCTCCTCTTTGCCAAATTTCCATTCTTTTGTTTCATCATGTTAGGAACTATGTATAGTGACCTTCCTTTTCTGTATTGTTACAATTTCTTGAACTTCTTTAGTGCAAATCTGCATATATTTAATCTGAGAATGATCTTGGGAGAGTTGAGTTCTCGCTAGCTTGCTTCGTCTTATTCCTTTTGTGAATGATTAGATTGATTGATGTAGGATGAACTGAGGGATGCTGTGCTCCTAGTCTTTGCAAACAAACAAGATCTTCCAAATGCTATGAATGCTGCTGAGATAACTGATAAGCTGGGACTTCACTCTCTCCGTCAACGTCATTGGTATATCCAGAGCACATGTGCCACTTCTGGTGAAGGTCTATATGAGGGTCTCGACTGGCTTTCCAACAACATTGCCAACAAGGTACCTTCCTGTTGTTCTGTTGAAAAATAGCAGATCTTGTCGAGTTATTATTATTATTATTATTTTATTTTTTTTTCCATTGGTCTGGCTGAGGTTTTCTGATTCGTGTTTTATTTTGTTCCATTCTCGGCATTACAGGCTTAATTAGAGATGTCCTGTGGCTTTTGCTATCGATGGCCTCATTGAAGTGAAGATTCTCTATTTGCCAGTTTTATGCGTTTGTAATCCTTTACCATGATTACTCTTTGTTTCTTTTTTTCTTAGTCGTCGTAATACGGTTTATTTTTACATTTTCTACCGTGACTTTCTGCGAACACAGCATTTCAGTATTATGCCTCCCTTTTGAACCTTTTTTCTGTTACCATGAATGATAAAATGTTGGTTTTCGCTAATTTTAAATGTTCGACAAGAAATTGAGGTGGAACACTTGACATCATTTATAAACATTTATTTAGTACGCATAATTTTAAAGCGAGAGTATGTTGTATATATTCAGATACAAATTTCCAATAAATTCTCGTTCTCTAATACACCAAAGTGACATCAAAGTATGAATAGTTTGGTACTGTGTTTGAAAATGCAGTCGACAGCGTAGGCACAGAAGTGTTATTCTCATTGTGGGTTTGGTTGGAATTGAATAATGAGGTTGATTAATTTCTATACATGTTTCATGCTTAATCCATTGATATGATTAACTTGTTTGTTGGAGGATTGATAGATAGTCTAATTATTTTTAAGCGAGGTAGGGGAAAATTTTGGCAGAGGGTTGGCTGTTTGATGATGTTAGGGGCTTAATTGGTATATATCATGCCAAACAAGTATTATTATTATTATTATTACTAGTACAATACCCGTGTATTACACGGGTGCTTGTTAAAAAATTATTATTAAATTTTAAAATTAATGAGAAAATTATATTAAATTTAGTTTACTTTTTTACAAAAAAATATATATTACTATATATTTTAGAATGATATGTGTTACTTATGACTTACGTGTGTTATCTTATATTAGTTTTTATAACTTATATCATATAACTACTTGAAATATAAATATATTAGTTGATAAATAATTTTATTTTTCTAATTGATATTAAAAATAATTTTATTATTGTTATAAAGATAAATATAAATTATTATTTTTATACATACAATATGGATGTTAAATCGAAGCTTATCAAAAGAAGATTAATTTGATATATTACATATGTAAAACTGATAAAAAATACAAAAGTTATTAACTTTTAAAATATATGTACAATTCAATAGTTATAATAAGGAATGATATTAAAAATACAATTAATACATGTAACATGACCATAAATAATTAACATATTTATGGTAATCCGAACCTAATTATTTTTGGTTTGGAATTAAATTAAAATTTAACCAAGCCTAATAACAAAGCATGTAATTTTGCCACATAGAATTCCGAAGCACCAGAAGTAGCCACGTAGGCTCAGCGTATTATGTATTAATATATAGGGGGATTATTATTATTATTATTATTATTATTATTATTATTATTATTATTATTATTATTATTATTATTATTATTATTATTATGATGTTGATAAGCATAACACAACGTGTAGCTGGGCTTCTGCAAATCTCGTAGATCATAAACAAATGCATTACCATCGTAACCCCAACTCAACACCGAAAACAAATGAGCCTATAGTGTTTGTCGAAAATAAACTGTTTTTGCACACAAAAAGCATGTATGCGACTGCAATGAATAAATACACTCGACCACAAATTCAACTCAATCACGATCGTCTGGCCACTATAAAATATTAAGCAAGCAAGGCCTGCAAAAGTCCATTGCAGGACCTTTTTATTACAAGAGAAAGCTGCAGCAAACAAATAAATACCTATACTGATCTGTATTAACTTCTGATTTAGCACAACAATGTCAGATTCACCTGAGGACTCTGTTAGAACTCAAGATAAAATTTTCTTCACCAGCCACAGTCGAACTCAGCCTCCCAGCAGCCCATCCATTGTTCAGTACCCGGGCACTAGCAGCTGGGCTAGGATCACCCGTGTCACGGTCCTTTATCTCTTTTCTCAGTTTCCTCTCCTCGTCTCTCTCTTTTCTCAACCAACTCTCCACAGTTCTCTATAAATTGATAAAAAAGTTTTGACACTTGTGAATACCCTTTACAGCATTAATATATTCTTTGATGAGCCAATTAATAAAGGGACTGACCATAAGTGACAAATTGCTTATCTCCTTGATTTTATTCATAGGCATTGCTAGTTGCAATTTCCCGCGAGCCACATAAACCTGAAAAAATATATATATATATATAAAAAAAAAAAAAAAACCAATGCATCTGATGACAAATAGTTGTAGCAATTTATGAGGTGTGTACACTGAAGGGTTTAGAGTCGCACTCACAATATGAGATGGCCAATCCTCAAGCCCATCAAATATATGGGTGGCATAAATAATGGTAGAGCCTCGTTCTAAGCATTCCTTCCTAAGAAACTTTAGGAGGTCTGCTCTGGCGAGCACATCTAAGTCAACAGTGATCTCATCAAGCAGGAGGACCTGGGGTCAACGGGCATAACAATGGCAATACAATTAGAATGGCCATCATGAAAGAAAACTCGATTGTTAATAACAGAGAAACTCACTCACCTTGAATGGCTTTAGAAGACCCATACAGATTTGGACTCGTCTTCTTTGGCCATCAGATACTTTATGCATTCTCCAGGAGAGGTCAATGCCTAAAACCTGCAATTTTGGAAGAACATAATATTTCTGTGGAAAAGGTACACAAGCTTTGCCCATTCAGACATGACCTACAGAAGACAGCGAGTTTGTCTAGAGAAGGATGTTTTTTGGAACTGTATCTTATTCTACTGGAGCAAGATGCAACATTTAAAAGAAAACAACCCTGAAGGGAAAAATGACAATAAACTTCCAAGCTGAAAAAACTACCTTGATTAGTTCATCTCGCCTTTGGGGATTGATACCTGCTACTCCAAATATCATTTTCTCAGCAGAAACGTCCATCTGAATTGGAACCTCAAAACCAGCAAAAGCAACTTCACGCCTCCACTGCAAATAAACAAGTTTTCACACACGCCTTCGAGACGCAAATTGCACTCAGTAGAGGATTTCCCTAGCACAGAGAATGTTCATCGCGTAGCTATTTCTACAGCATACTGTTAAGCCAGCTAGCATTGAGATGTGATGAAAAAGATGGTACTTCTAGTTGAATTTTCAAAATTCCAATTTCATCTTCACAGTTCACCAATTATAGCACATTTACGTCACAATACCAAGAAAAAATCCCTTATTACACTAAGGCTATGTTTGGTAGACAAATAAGCTAGCTAATAGCTTATTTAGTTAGCTTATAAGCTCTTTGTATTCAAGTAACTCTTGTTTGGTAAGACGAGTTTTTTTTTTAAGAAGCTCAAGCTTATTTGATAAGCTTCTTTTAGGTAGTTTTTCAAATAAGCTAGTTGAATTTTTTTTTTTTATTTCAACTAATTTTACCAAACACTTTTATCATGTAAGCTAACTTTTCAGCTATTAGACATAAACTATAAGCTATAAGCTCGAAAAGTACTAATAACCTATAAGCTAGTTTATCAATTATCACTTAGCTTGTCGGCTAGTTTTACCAAACATGCCTAACAACAACCATGAACACGAACAGAATCCAACATCAATAGTAAAGAAAACGAACATTAAAACAAGAGAGCTGCCGACAATGTACCTCACCACCAAGATAAGCAAGATCACCAGAGGCAGTCAAGGCGGTGTCGTGGAAGGCGGATCGGCCCATGACCCTCACCATATCTTGCTCAACCATGTGCTTTCCCCCAATTATTTTCAAAATTGTTGTTTTACCTATTAAAACTCTACATAAATCTCAGCCACACCACATGAAAGGAAAACACTGATAAACCCATGAGAGAGAGAGAGAGAGAGAAATTACCGGCGCCATTGGATCCGACAAGGAGGCAGCGATCGCCGGGGAAGAGTGTGAGGGAGAAATCATCGATCAAAGGAGTGGAACCCGGCGGAGGATGGCCGTCGATTCCAGGGTAGGTGAATCTGAGCTTCTTGATCTCGAGTGTTGGTCGAGGGTTGTCATGCCCTGCCATTACTGAGACTATCTGTTTTCCTTCTTCTTGGCAGTTAGATCGAGATATAGAGAGAGGTGATTTATGGGAAGGTCTTCGTAATGTGAATGGGAGAGTTTGGTAGCGGCAATGGCGATGGCTTTCTCTCTCTGAGACGTGGCCATAGTTGCGACACTGCCCAAGAATTAAAAGCTCGTGCCTTTACACAAGGTAGCTGCTGAAATTTAAAACTAAAAAAAAAAAAATACTACAAATTATGTGGATTGTGAAATTAGTAACCCTAAAACAACTAAAGATGGAACATAGAAGGGAAAAAAAATTATTAATCAACCCTATATAAACATTTTTTTTTTTTTTTTGGTAATAAAAAACATCTTAGTTAGTTATTAAGAGCGTGTTTGTATATTAAATAAAACCAGACTCATATTCAAGTTTGACTTCACTTAATCCAATCTCGTTATTCAATATTACTAGAAAGCACGATGCAAGGGCGGATTTGTATCTTAAAACTTTTTTTTTTTTTCTAAAAAAAAATTATTTTAATAATATATTAGCCCATTGACCTATTTATATTATCATATTTTTAAACATGTATTTGTTTTTTGATACATAATAGTATTAAGTTTACTTATTATTATTCGTCATAATACTTAAATATTGTTTTATTCTAAAATTTAATTTCATGTAGTTTCATTATTATTAGTTATAGCACTTATAAAAGTAGTATTTTTTTTTATAAAATGATAAGTATTTAATTTACGTTAGTATTATTTATTGATGTAATTAATTTAAAAATATTTAAACAAATTTCAAATAAACATTGTGTCATATATGCATTCTATTCAATTTTTAAAATTTATACTATCTCATAATAATTAAAAGTAATATCTCATAATAATTAAAAGTAAAATCATATATATACGATTTCATGACAATTTTAAATATATTAAACCTAATATTTTATTTGTTCCTTGTGAATATATAATTTTCCGTGACGTGGTAGAAGATTATATGGAAATTAAGATAAAATTGAATGTAACCAAAAACATATGTATGCAATATTATATTTTTTAAAAAAATGTTTGATTTTAATTTTTTTCCAAAAGTTTCAAAAACACATTTAAGGGGGATATTTCAAAAAAAATAAAAAATTATTATGTTTAGCAGATATTCAGGCAAAATTTCTACACTAAGGGGTTACTTGAAGTGGCCTCCTTTGGAAGAACAAAGAGGTCTAACATTTTGGAGATCGTCAAAAAACAAGCATTCTGAAGGACGCTGACGTATGAGAATGAACGAATTCACTGCCCACCACAGGGGAGTGTTGCAGTGCACAGGGAATCAATGATCGTTGGTTTGAGATGTTCTTTGCCTAAGGTGTTTTTCGAGTATCTGCGAGAATAAAAGATGGAGGTGAGTCAAATTCATCCGAACACCGTGTGTTGACTATGTTCTTTCCTCATTTTCCCAATCTCAATCAATGTGGATCTCCCCGGGAATAAACTCGTGTGCTCTTCACACTGTCAGTGGAGGATTTGTATTTTATCCTAATGTGGAAGACATCCAAAGGAGGATCCAAGAGCTTCCATTTGGCCCCAAGGGATGACAAATGGATGATTTGATGTTGTATTCTATCCTAACTAGTACAACAACCGTGTATTACACGGGTGCTTGCTAATTTTTTTCATAAAATTTAAAATTAATGAGAAAAAATAGTTTGAAAATTTAAATACATTTTATAAGAATATATATTATTATATATTTATTATGATACTTTTTATTTGTGCGACTTACTTGTGTTATATTATACTAATTTTTTAACTTACACTATATAACTACATTAAATATAAATATATCAATTGAGAAATAATTTTGTTTTTCTAATGAATTTTAATAAATATTATTATTTTTTATTATTATAAAGATAAATTTAATTTATTTATTTTATATATACAATATGGATGTCAAACCGAAGATCATCAAAAGATGATTAATTTGATATATTATATATGTAAAACCGATAAGAAATACAAAAGTTATCTACTTTTGAAATACATTTATAAATCAATAACTTATTGAAGGAAGCAAATCAAAATTTAGGGATATATTAGTCACTTAGTGTCTCACTATGTAAAATTACAAATAATTAAAGGGTTATATTAGTAAAAGTGATATTAAAATACCTAAGTTAGCTAAGTAATATTTATGGAATACCCGAACCTAGATTACTAATTATTAATATATTAATATTATTTGTCCAAACCTAATTACGAAGCATGATTCTTCGCCAAATAGGATTTCGAAGCACCTGAAGCAGCCACGTAGGCTCAGCGCATTCTGGAATTATATATAGGGAGGATATTGGTTTACTCACACCGCCAATGGAGGATGTCATGTTGTATTATATCCTAACTAGTACGATACCCGTGTATTACACAGGTGCTTGTTAAAAAATTATTCTTAAATTTTAAAATTAATGAGAAAATTATATTAAATTTAGTTTACTTTTTTACAAAAAAAAATATATTACTATATATTTTAGAATGATATGTGTTACTTATGACTTATATGTGTTATATTATATTAGTTTTTATAACTTATATCATATAACTACTTGAAATATAAATATATTAGTTGATAAATAATTTTATTTTTCTAATTAATATTAAAAATAATTTTATTATTGTTATAAAGATAAATATAAATTATTTTTTTTTATACATACAATATGGATGTTAAATCGAAGCTTATCAAAAGAAGATTAATTTGATATATTATATATGTAAAACTGATAAAAAATACAAAAGTTATTAACTTTTAAAATATATATACAATTCAATAGTTATAATAAGGAATGATATTAAAATATTTATGGTAATCCGAACCTAATTATTTTTGGTTTGAAATTAAATTAAATTTACCCAAGCCTAATAACGAAGCATGTAATTTTGCCACATAGGATTCCGAAGCACCAGAAGCAGTCACGTAAGCTTAGCGCATTTTGTATTAATATATAGGGGGAAGGGAGATATTCGTTTACTCAGGCCCCTGTTAATAGCTCACTAGTATTTGACCTGTGCATTTGCACAAATGTAAATAAAGTATTGTGAGTTATTTGTATGCATATAATGATTAATTATTTTTCTTTCACCTTTTTGCTGGCCAACTTTAATTGGAATATCTATTTTTTTTTAAATTGCGTTTATCTGATTGGATGTAATGTATATTTTGGTACGTCTTTTTTTTGTGAATTATTTATTATTTTTTTAAGAATTTCAAATACGTTTTTTATTTTAAAAATAATAATAATTTAAATTTAACTACAATTATAACATCTAATCACATTATACGGTAAACACATTATATGGTCAACTGTCAATAATCAAAAGCTTAAAATGATTTTTGTAATTTTGAAGTGATTAGTGTTGATTATTTAATAATTAAATGAAAGATTAAATACATCAAAAGTAACGATTTTTGGAGGGAAACGGGTTAAATTGCCACATCGGTAAAATTAAATAGGTTTTATTAAATGTTATTAGCTTGTAATTAACTAATTATATATAAATATATATATATATATATATAAATTTCGGGGGATTATGTTATGTGGCGGTGGCCGATTTTTCACCGGAAGTTGCTTTTTGTCATTTAATGGGACGATTTTATTAAAACATGAATGAATTGTACAGTGAGATGCAAAGGAGTTTGTGATTTGTATATACAATGGAAATATTTAAATTTAATTACTTGTTGTGTTGTATATATTATGGGAAATATTTAAATTTAATTAATTATTGTGGATTTTACATAATAGCTATTTTAAATTTAATTGTGTATTTAATTGAGATTTTTTTTAAAAAAAATGAAGAATTTTTAAGACTTTGAAAATTATGGTATAATTTAATTTAGAGTTCTATAGATTTACAAAATTCTTGAGATATTCATTTGGTATTCATCCCGATGTATTTAATTATTTGAGATTAAGATTTGTTAAAACTTTCTAAGATTTGTTGGAATTTCTAAAGAAATAAACATATACTAAAACTCATTGCAAATCTCACATCCAAACTTAAAATTTCATAAGATTCCTCTAATTTAAAAATTTCAAATCTCGAATAGCCTTTAAATGTCACTCGAAATTCCAAACGAATACACCTACTTGCCGTGGATTTTACAAAAGCTACTTTCTAAAGAAGTATGAATATCTAGTTGCCACTTAAAATTGGTAAATTTTACTAAATGTAGTTAGGACTATATTGTCGAAAAAATTTTACTAAAATCAAAAACAACTTTAATTACTAAAAAACAAAGTATCATAAATTAGTGAGAATAAATAGATAAAATATTGTGAGTGAATCAATTTTTTGATAATAAAAAAAAAAATTATTTTCGAAATTCAAATGTACTAAAGATAATAAGGAAAAAAGAGAAATGTAACGGCTACACAGTAAATGAGGTTTTGACCAATATTAACATAGCAACACATTAATACAAATCAAATATGTTTTTATAATAAAATAATAAAAAAAATGAAAAGTAACGGTTTTTGGCGGGAAAGTGCCACGTAGGTATAATTTAATAGGTTTTATTAAATGCTTATGAGCCAGTAATTATATATATATAGAGATGAGAATCAAGGGTTTCCACATCTTGAAAATATCAACCGATTGACCGATAGTTGGAGTTTGGTAGTTTTGAAGAAGCTGTCGTGGGGTTGTAATCTGGGATTTAGTTTGTGAGTGGATTCGACTATGTAGGTTTGGATAACAAAATTTGAAAAAAGTAGTAGCCAAATTATATGAGTTTTTAAATTTTAATTATCAATTTGAAATTGGGCCAACTTCTATACAATCCAATTTTTTTTAATAAACATGATCTGTTGCAATTAGGTAAAAATACATGTTATAGTATTTTGCCTAATTCGAAACTCTCAATTTTATGGTAGATAATATTTTTTTTTTAATAAAAAATGAGAGAATTCTGACTTTTACAAAATTGTCATGCCGAATTTTACCTAAACTAACCTGATTTCTATGCCATCAAATTTTTTTAATAAACAATTGATCTGTTGTAATTAAGAAAATATATAAGCGATAGTATCTTACCTAATTCGAAATTCTCGATTCTACGGTAATCAGTTTTTTTTATTAAAAAATGAGAAAAAAAAATTGACTTTGCAAAATTGTAAGCATCAGTCGAAATTTAACTAATTCAAATCTACAAAATCCATAAATTTAGGGCGCATATATTGTTGCTCGATCTTTTGGAATAATTTAAAGATAAAGTAAAAAAACTGCCGAATATATAATGCAACAAATATTGGTTGATTTTTTTGTTACTATTTTTAGTAAATATGTTATCTCTTTATATATGTATAGATAGATATAGATAGATAATTTTTTTTTTTTTTTAAAAAAGGAAAACTTAATCAAAGATGGCTATAAATTTACAAAATTTGAGAACGTGGTAGCAATTAATTTTTATGACGAATTCACGTGTATTAGGGCTGAGCATGGGACTTGGAGAATTTCGAACTGTTCCGAAACCGAACCGAAATCACTCCGAACTGAAAAATAACCGTTGATCGTTTGACTTTCTCCGAACCGAACCAAACCGAACCGAAGAAATAATTGGTACGGTTCTGGAGATTTCACAAATATCCGTACCGAGAACCAAATCGAACCGTCCCGTACTGTACCGAACCGAAGAACCTAAATTAAGAACCGAATTATAACATTAAATGTTATTAATATATTTTATGTCAACTTTGATTCTATATAATCTATACTTATATAATAAGGTATCATATTTACCAAATTAAGTAGGTAGAAAAGTCAACGTAATTAATGCATTGCTATTTCTACCAGAATTTTATTTAATTATTTAATTTATTTGTCTTATATCCCATAAAATCGGTTTAAGAAAAAAAAAATCTCATAACATCCGGTAAGTAAAAAAAAAAAATTACATAAAATTTTTACTAAAATAAATAAAGTTTTATTTATTTGTCTTATTGCATAATAACATAAATTTTTAGTCAAAAAAATAATCTCATAAAATCGATGAAGTCAAAAATTCTACGTAAAATCTATCTATACTAAAAAAAACAGATTCAAAATTCATTATCTAATTCCTTATTATCTATACTTATATAAAGAGTCATCTTATTTATTGAAATTAGTAGCAAAAAAAAAAAAAAAAAAATAGCTCAGCATTAAATGCAGCTCATAAATAGTAGTTTTATTATTTTTCTTATTTTTTTTCTTTAAAATTCATACAAATTAATTTATAAATACGCTCTAATATAATCATAAAATTTAAATAAAATAATAATTAAATATTAAATGGTGAACAAGAATAAGTAAAATTAATACTTTCTCTTATATCATGAGATAAATTTATATGCTAAAATTAAGTTTTTATTAGTATAAATATTTTAGTGAGATAATATATTAATTATTTTACAAACTAGCCATAACGTGCTCATATTTAATGTTCCGGCTAAAAAGACAACGCTGGTTATAAGATTTGGAAAAAGGCTTATAACCCAATTATTTTTTAGACTTAACGTTGATTAAAAGAGGTAGAAAATAGATAAACCCTATTACTTTTTAGACTTAAACGGACAAGACTGTGAGAATAACTCATTTAATATCTTTGTCAAATGTGGAAAAAATTTATAACCCTATTATTTTTTAAACTTAACGTTGATAAAATATGTAGAAAATATATAATAACCTATTACTTTTAGACTTAAACGGATAAGGTTGTGAAAATAAAAGTTTACAACTGTATTGTTTTTTAGACTTAACGTTGATAAAATATGTAGAAAATAGATAATGACCCTATTACTTTTTAGACTTAAACAGACAAGGCTGTGAAAATAACTCATTTAATATCTATGTCCCGTGCATTGCACGGGGTACGTACTAGTATAGTAATAAATATTACCTTCACTTAAATTTCATTCTTAGTAATATTTGATCTACAATTGAATTTTTTCTATTATAAAATAATTATTTAAAATAATATGAAAGTTTAAAAAATATTTTTTTAAGAAAAAAATATTATATTTTATTTGAATTGTAAATTTTCAATATTAGTTGCACAAATTTATTTATAACTAAAATTTAGAGTTACTTATAAAGTTGATTTCAAAATAAAATATTTAATGTGAGGAAATACTGATGAATGTTGGTTTTATTAAAGCATATAAAAATTAAATAACTAAAATTTAGAGTTACTTCTAGAATTGATTTCAAAATAAAATATTCAATATGATGAATTATTTATGAATGTTGTTTTTTTTAAAAACATATACAAATTGAAATATAACTAGGTAGTCATTCAAAAATAATTTAAAAAAATAGAAAATCTCCGAAGATCCGAACCAAACCATACCGAACCGAATCGTCCCAATAGTACTGAATATCGTACTGAACCGAACCGAACCGAACTGAAAAATAAAAATCTACGGAACCGAACCGAACCGACTTTTCGGTATGGTTCTGAGATAGATTTTTGGGATCTCTAAAGTTTGGAACGGTTCTGAAAATTTAGCAATTTTCAAAGTTTGGTACAGTTCTAAAGATATATCAATCTTCGAACCGTACTGACGTTCACCCTTAACGTGTATATGTGTAGAATCCACATTTAACAAATGAATCCTACAGAAAAAAAAATAAATTTAAAAGTAGTGCAATATTATGTCAACTTGAAAAATCTGAATTTAATCTGTAATGTAACAAAAAAAAAAAAAAAAAAAAAAAAAAAAAAATTATTTTTCCTACAATCAAAGTTAAAAAATACGTACATTTTTTAGGAAGATGTTACGGCATTTCCCCATATTTTATTTAACAAAATTAAATTATTAATTTTTTTAGTACAATAAAATCATTACATAAATAATTTAGGGTTAATTGCTAAATAAACCTTAACCTTTTTGCGTTTGGCAATTATATCTCAATCTTTAGGTAATTGCAATATAATCTCAACCTCAATTTACTTATTGCAAATCAAACCTAAAACCATTTGAACTTTCAAAAAACTGGTCAATTTGAAGGCAGTTCGAATAGATCGGAGCTCATATTTACCGGTTCACTCCAGATTTAGGAGAAGACTCATCACTGGTAGCTTACATTGACGTGGAATTTTCGGCTTTGTGCGTGGATATACATTAAATACGTGAAAATTATCAACTCGCTACGTGAATGACATAAAAACCCATGTCCATGGACGACCTGGACACAAAATCGATCCACTAATCCCTAAAATCAATCACTCTGCACCAAAATTTGCAACAAGTAAATTGAGGTCGAGATTATATTGCAATTATCCAAAGATTGGGATAAAATTGCCAAACGCAAGAAGGTTAAAATTTATTTAGCAATTAACCCAATAATTTATTCACGGGCTGTCGCTCTCTTCCACTCTTTTCAAGTCTGCTCCGCCATCGCTGCCGCTGCTCGCCCATCCCTCCACCCACACACCCACCCGCCGCGCTGCTGCAAACAATCTGTTCTTGAGAAAGAGGAAGCCTCAACACAAATCTGAAGCCCTACCCAGCACATATATAGGTAATTCGAGATGGGATTTTTTCTCGCTCTGTCATTGATTTTTGTCAGTTTTGATGGCATATGCTAATGATGGGAAGTAAATGCATATCAAAGAAGGGATCTTGAATCGTGGAGTGTGTTGATGATATTTGTTTGAAGATCTAGCAATGGCCTCGTAGATATGGTTGTCAAAAAGCCATGTGAAAAAAATTATCGCCGATCAAAGTTTGTTTGATAGAAATTTCTCAATACTGTAATTCAGTATTTCGGCGTAAATTTGAACTCTTTGCAAGCGTCATTGACTATAATTGCAAGTCGAATTATACGTAACATACGGGGTGGTCGACAATATACCTTATCTATTGTGGGCTAGTGGCTATTTAGTGTTTACCCAAACTAAAATATGTTCGTCTGAGATCAAGTGTGAGCTTTTTTATTTTTATTTTGTTAACAAACATAAATAGAGCTGCAATCAACTCAAGCGGACATAATCCGAGAAACGAAAGCAATCGAAAGAGAGTTGAATTGAAGGGACAGCAAGAACAAGAGGAACTCCGAATATCGCAAAATGTAAGTTCTCAAGATTTTGTGACTCGTAGGATTATTATCTGATAATTGTTCCTTCATATGATGCAATTTGGTAAATAGTGTAGGATTGATCATCACGTTGAATCATTCTGTAAGGTCGATAATATTCAAGGGCCGGTCTAATGGCAATATGAGAAAAAAAATCCCAACTTTTTATATGGGTTTGGCTCAAATAGGTCTAGGTTTTGGACCTGATAATATGCTAGGATGATATCTTAGATCTTAATGAGGATGTGGCATAACTTTGATGACTCGTCTTAGTTGTAATTAATCCAAAATTTGTTGATTGAGCCTGCTCCACATGATATACTTGATAATGTTTGAGCTTTAATCATATAATATGTTATTACTAATATGATGGGTGAACTATTCATACCGGGTTTTGCTGTTTTTTAGTTCAGAATATTTTAGAATATTGTGATTCATGAAATATTCATACTGGGTTTTGCTGTTTTATAGTTCTGATTAATTATTATCTATATTTTGATTCAGCCAAATTGGTGACATGTTCGCTTAAATTAAGAATGAATTCTTAAGCTTGTGAATTGAGGTATCTCAAGAAAACTATAGGCTATCAGTCTTCAAGGGTGACTCGTGTTTTATTATGTTTATGTAATGGTTCACTTCAGTATTTGGGTAATAATCTCAGTAGGTAGGATTTACAATACATTGCCAAAGATGTCAGTTGGTAATGAATGGTATTTTAATAACAAAAAATAATCTGCAAATCTGAATAAGAAAAAGATTGTACAACCCTTCTGTCAAGTTTAACAGCCATTCTCTTAACTTTTCTCACGCATGGAGTTGCATCTTTTTAAAGCTCAGCACATAAACCTTCTCAAATCGAAGTACCATGGCAGCCATTTACAGCCTCTACATCATCAACAAATCAGGCGGCCTCATTTTCTATAAGGTAGACCATGCTATAAATACGTTTTGTTTTTTGAATCTTCACAGTTCGCTCTGTGTAAGTGTTTTTTTTTTCTTCTTTTTTTTTTTTTTAAGGGAACAGGAATTTAAGAGTAGTATATTTTATGTTGTCTAGGATTATGGTTCGGCCGGAAGAATGGATACAAATGATAGTTTGAGACTAGCGAGCTTATGGCACTCTATGCACGCCATTTCTCAGCAGCTTTCGCCCGTTTCCGGGTGCTCTGGAATCGAGCTGCTTCAGGCCGATACTTTTGATCTTCACTGCTTTCAGTCTCTCACAGGTGGGTTTTTTTTTTT